ATTTGCTCTTTGTATAAATCAACCACTGTGCAAATGGTGAACATTCTTTAACTCGATTATTACAAAAATTATATGAAGCATGTTTTACTAATATACTCTTTTACATAGTAGGAGATTAAGTAGTTTGTCCAAGATAGCAGTTAGTAGGTGATAGATCTAGAATTTAAATGATTAAACTCAGATCATTCGGGGGACCAGCAGTTTGCATAATGGCTGTATTGCTGGACTCCCATGTAGTGACCGCAGTTTGTGTCCCGGATCCAGTGACTTAAAACTCACGCAGGGCGCGTGTGCTTGCGTGCCCAAGATCCTGAGAGAAGAGAAGGGATTGTGGTGTGGCCATCTCCCCTGGGAGGTGATTTCTCACTTTCTTTCTCTCTGTCTCTCTCTGTCTGTCTGGCGAGAGCACGTGTCCTATAGCAAAAACCTCTCTCAAAAAACAAAACAAAACAAAACAAAACAAAACACCTCATATCATTTAAAGACTAGTGATTATGTTTTTAATCTAGACCTTATATTGCAGTTTATTAGGAAAAAACTGATTTGTAATCAAATAAAATTTACTAAATAGAAATGGATGAAAAATTAAGTAAGAATTTATCAAATCCTATCATTAACTCTAAAGACTAAATATTAATACAAAGCATGTTATTTATTTTACCTATGCTATGGCAAGAAAACTCAAAGACAGAATATTAGGTAATAAACTAAATTAGGAAAGGGGCACATACAGATGTTCAATCAAAAGACTTTAAACATTATATAATGATCATTAAAATAAGTACTTTTTCCTTTGTTTATAAGCCAGAGAATGTGCACTTGTTGGAAAGAAACAGAGAAAGAGAGAGGGAGAGAGAGAAAGCACCTGCTTCAGTGGGGTGAGGTCATGCAGTAATCTTGTCTCCATTTCTCCATCCTGTTGAGATTTGGGACATGCATGCACACATGCTCGTGTGTTTTTCAAGCTACTGGTACCAGGATTTGAACCATATGGTTGGCCATGGGGATCTGGCTCCCTTGACTAGTAGGCCACAGTACTGATCCAAATAAATACTTTAGTGCTCAAAAACATGCCTTTGCATGGCCAGAAATCATCAGAGGTTTGTACTTAGACGGAGACAAGCTTACACTGATTTATTGTCACCTTAAATAAATTCCTACCCTCAACTCTATTTCAATTGTAGCTAGATGAGATGAAAAGATCCCTAACTGATATCATTCTATGTTTCATGAACATTTGTCACTTAGAAATCAAGAAAGCTGTTTCATGTCACAAGTATTGTTAAGAGGTCCTAAGATCTCACATAATCAATAATCTGCTTACAAGAAAAAGGTAGAGGGTCCACTAATTAGTATGGTATGGTAGTGTTAATTCTATGTAAAGGTATATAGAGACTTTTTTTTTTCCCACTGAGATTTAAGTGACTTTGGAGGTTCAGAAACAGAAATTTTTGTCCAAGCTGTATCAAATTAGAGATTAACCACTGAGTTAGTCTCAAATTAACTACAATCTTCCGTGGTCTGGGACCCAGATGACACGAAAGTGAAACCAATGGAAGCTCCGTCTGCCCAAGGATGCACCACGCAATGTGTACACTGGAGTGAATTCAGAAGTGTCAGGACCACTGCGGTGCCCCAGGTCTGAGCCCAGGGACAGCACCTTAACCCTTCATCGTTATCATCAGGGAACAGCCTGAGTTCCAAAACCAAGCACACACGTAAAAAGGCACTTCAGAAATACTGTGCTTCCAAGGCACTTGCTTCCCTGGATCGAGCTGAACTAGTGTAGTTTGGCCTATTGATTCATACGTATTTAGATTATGCTTACACTGATTGTGCTTCAGCTCCGATTTCCATGTTCGAAAGTTCCTTTCATTATATGAATTACTCTGTTTTATAAGGTCCTTGTGAAAATTAACTGCTATCAAATAGTGGATTCTCATAAAATTTAAGGGAATTTTAGAATGTTTTATACTTCAGAACAGTCAGTTACTCTTCATTTTCCCCCAAGACGTCACGTCCATTTAAAAAATGTGTGTATATTAAATTATATGTAAGTTTAATGTATATAAATTATATATATTATTATAATGTATGAAATAATACATATAACTTTAGAGGAGATGAAATGTAGGCTTTGGAGTTTTATACTTATGATAAATTAGAATTTTGAATATTTCATTTAATGGACTTAAATTGCAACACAACCTACTACTCAGTGTCTCTAAATCTGAACCTCATGAAAAGATACTCAGAAATAATAATTTGAGCTATGACTTCACGTTTAAACTTCTGAAGACAAATAATTTGCCAGGGAGAGTAAGAAGATAGGTTTCCCAGCTTAAAATTACTGAGAAAAAAAGGAAGAAAAAAATGAGATACACATCAGTAAGAGCAGGGGCCTTCTGTTGGAGCCCTATATTCCATTTAGAGAAGAGCTACATGTTGACAAAAGAAATGGGAACAGATTTTTTTTTTTTCCTTTTTAAACCTAGTTTTGTAGTATTCGAAGGACTTAGAGTCCCCAGCCAGTGGGCGAGCCTGGACTTAGAATAAGGTTTTCTAATCCTAAGCATGACATTCTTTTACTTTCTCTCATCTCTTTCCAAGAAAACCAACTCCAAATGTCAAACACATGGTCACATTCCATTAGAAATACTCATCATAACTACTCAAAACAAGGGGAAGACCAATTTTAGGCTAGATGTTCAGAGTCGTGCCCAGGGCTTCCACGAGGGACTGGTCAATGAGCTGAAGGTATAAGACACACTGCAGCCACAGGCTTCTACGTCACTTGGACGTGGACGAAAAAAGCCTTCTCTAAATTGTTTCCCATAGTCCTTACAGAAGCGTTCTCTGCTTTTCATCTTTCAAGGGTCATCTTGACAATTACTTAAACTCTTCTAGAGTACTGCACTCACTATTGAGAAAAATCCATCCTCAGACTTTAAAACACAAATTGTCCACTTTACTGTGATGAAAATAATTAAGTTGCATTTGAGAAAAAAATGTAAATATAGTTACCAAAAGTGTGAAGAACTTTTTTATAAAAAGGAAGCTGGGGAAGTCAGTAAATTTACTCTTTCCTGAGCAACTAGTTGAAGACAGTAAAGCACTCCTACGTCTAATCTCAATGTTCGGAGAACAACTTAAAATATGAAAGTCTGTATTAGAACTAAGATACTGTTACATAAAATGTATGAACACCAGGAATTGGTTTCCATGGGGTTTTATATTGAATGAGTTATTTTTATACAAAGTTTATCAAACTATTTATTTTGGAAAGTTGTGAAAAATGTCTATTTTTCAAAACTAATTATGTTTAAGATGTATGGCATTAAATTCAATTTTATGAGGATTTCTGACTGGATATTTTAAATAGTATGTTCATTCAAAAAAACCCTGAAACTAAAAATAAATTTGGAAGATATTTAATTTTGTAGTGAAATATGTATATTGTAGATATCGTCCTTTTAAAGCCTGTTATTAAGTGTTTTAAATGCAGTTAACACATTATCTTTGATCACATTGGTATATTAATAAAGTTATAAACATCGGTCCTGAGATATGCATCACTAATTGCTCTATAAAATGTAATTATCAAATTCCCCTTTATGTTATCAAAGTCAGAGAAAAGAGTGGACCGATTTTGAATATTTTCATCTTTGCATCATTATGATTGATAAGAGTTCTGAGAATTTGAGGTCCTACTGGACTTCAATCTAAGGTATTTTGGGGTTATTTTATTCATAGTATGATACATAATATGATGAAATTTAGAAGTAATCCTTGTTGTTTATATAAATAGTTAATATAAAATTTCATCCATTATTAGCCTTTGATTATGTCTTTGAAATTCCTACAAATTTGAACACCTTGGACCCAAGTGTCTCTCTTTCTCTGACTTGTGCTGGTGTCTACTCAGTAGATGGCTGCACCAACTTCTTGGTGGTGTTACAACCACTTGCAATTAAAGATTATTCATTTGATCATCAAGAGCTCTTTAGTTTGGTTCTTTTCGTTCTTTAGGAAATATTAATTTATACTGATTTATGAGCATATGTTTTACCACTTGGGTTTCTAGCAATTTATGCCACTATTGGAGTTGGTATTTAGACATACTGTTTTCTTGCTTGTTCATTTTCAAAAGAAATGAAAACACATCCATATAGAAAAGTTTTCACATAGTATGATGAACTATAAAATAAAAAGTGACGCTTTCCTCCCACTTGCAACCCCAGTTCTCATTACCAAAGCTCACTGCCATCATTATCATGCCATGTAGCCTTTAACAAGTGGCTACAGTGGGGTAATATTTTATAATACCTCTCACTCATGTGAAATTAGCCTTTTTCCCTAAAAATATGTGGATATTTCCATATAAATTCAAATATGCCTAACTTAATTATTATTTTGAAGTTTATTTGCTTTTATTTTTCCATGAGTGAAAGAGGGTGAGAAAGAATTTCCAGCAGGGTCCTGACATGGCAGTTCCCCCACCGGCCCCACACCTCAGCCCAACCTGGGCATATGTAATAAGGCTTTTCAGTTGGGAACCTTGAACTTTTCCCTATGGGTCAGCCTTACAGAGCATCTGTCTACCTCTGTGCCACCGCCTGACTTTTAACTTTTTTTTTAATGGTTACATAATATTCCATTGTATCCACGTGTAATGATTTATTTAACAATGTACAGCTGGTAAATGTTCAGGTTGTTTCCAATCTTTTACTATTATTTGCAATATTAAATGAGCGTTCTCACAT